TTTATATATATATATATACATTTTATAGTATCGTGACAGTAGTATCTGCTAAATTTATATATATATATATACATTTTATAGTATCGTGACAGTAGTATCTGCTAAATTTTGATTACGCTGCGCGCGGAGCGCACCAGATCAGAAATCTCTTGTTCATCCTCTCGCTCCCTCCGCTTTCATACGTCGGTCGGTCGGTCGGTTGGTCGGTCGGTCGATCAGTCAGCTTGAGTCAGTCGCTAGTATCATCCGGTCAGGTCGGTTGTTCTCATATCACGAGCTCGCGGATCGAGTACGCAGAACGCAGCGCAATTAACAGCAGTTAACGCGCGCGAGGCCAGTCATCGGTCGTCCAACCATCTATCATCAATCGTAGAATAACGGAAGTACGAATACTACATTTCCGTATTGTGATCCATCTCCGGCTGTTTTTCTCCCATCTGCGGGTCGTGATTTTGCGTAGCAAAGAAAATCACATCTCTTATTAGGACCGCACGCATCTCTCGTGCTCGTCGTCGCTGTTCACAATTCATCAACTCGAACAACGCTAGGCCTCAAGAGTATATATAGCATGTTGATTTGTGCAGCAGGCAAGTCTTTCTTTTTTCTTATTACTCGTATACTCTCTTTCCTTCTTCCTCTCTCTCTTTCTCCCTCTCCCCCCCCTCTCTCTTTCTCTCTCTCATTCCATCCTTCTATTTCCCATCACATTGTCCTACGATAGTTTAATTATAGATACGCGGTCTGTACGGGCTTAAGCTCGCCTAAAATAATGATTGAATCAGCTTCACGTCCTTCTTCGCGCTCCTTTTTCCCCCGGGACACTTGCGTGCAATGTTTCTGGATATATCCCCGTGTACACAAATATATGGAACGAACAGCTGTCGTTCTAGAACCCTGAAGGCTTCATCTGGAAATTGTTTGTCTTCCTAATTGTCGATGCTGACTCGAATATATGTTTGCAACATCGCAACTTACTCAAATGTAGTAATGTACATTGTAGTGTATGAATTCAATTTAAAATATTGAAAATACATATTAAGAGAAATGAAATATGCTGATCTAAAAAGATAATTGAAGAGATATGAGATGTGTAAGATATCATGAATCTTCTCATTATTCATTAAGATTTGTTTTAAGTTGTTCAGCAATTCGAGTATTCGAATTTATTTTTATTGCTAAAATAGAAAAATTTTAAATACTTTTTGTAATTACATATCAAATAATAATTACATATCAAACCAATTGGTGTATTTATAATTATATTTCAGATGGACAAAGTTCAGTATATTAAAGACTCACAGTCATGGAACAATTCAATGGCATAAATGATGGAGATATTAATATAAGTGATATCAGTAAGTATCTTGAATATATATTATGTATTTTAATATAGTTTTGTATAGTTGTGTGTGATGCATACTATTTTTAGTTGACGTCATTCAAACCACTGATCCTGATTCTATGGCTACTATAGTAATGGATAGTGAACAGCCACGTGTTGAGATTTTAGAACAACCAGCCAGTAAAGCACTCCGATTTCGCTATGAGTGTGAAGGCAGGTCAGCTGGCAGTATACCTGGTGTCAATAGTACACCAGAGAACAAAACTTTCCCTAGTATACGAGTAAGTTGTGATCGGTCCAGTGAGACTTCGAGTCTTTCTTTCTTCTTATTTCTATATGCTTATAATATTCCTGTAGATCGTGGGTTATAAGGGTCGTGCCATGGTAGTTGTGTCCTGTGTAACAAAGGATGCCCCCTACAGACCTCATCCACATAATCTTGTTGGCAAGGAAGTATGCAAGCAAGGTGTTTGTACAGTAGAAATTCCATCGGGAAATATGGTTGTTACTTTTTCAAATTTAGGCATTCAATGTGTGAAAAAGAAGGACATTGAAGAAGCTCTTAGAATGCGTCAAGAATTACGAGTGGATCCTTTTCGAAGTATGTATAATTTTTTCATATGTATATACATATATTATGATATTTTTTCAGTAATTTAGAGTTTGGTTATGAAGAGATAAATTATTGCAGCTGGTTTTGAACATAGGAGACACCCAACTAACATAGATCTTAACGCAGTGAGATTATGTTTCCAAGTTTTTTTGGAAGGATCACAGAAAGGAAAATTTAACAAGCCTTTAGCGCCCATTGTATCTGATCCTATTTATGATAAAAGTACGTACTATATATCATTAAAAAATATATATATATATATATATTTACATACAATAATTTATTATAATCTTTCCACGCTATTATCTCCCAAACTATTTATTACTCGGAAAAAATGTTTCAAATAAAATTTACTCTATTCTACTTGACAAATTACTAACATCTTTCGAGAGAATGGAACTATCATTCAAGAGACAAAATAAATCAATGCGTTCATTGAGAGATCATGAGGAGAAGCTAATCGTGCTAAAACTCGCTATTAAAGTATATTTGTACTCTGGCAAATGTGTCTTCTAAAAAGTTCATTTGAAAGTTTATTGATGAGAAAATTACTGACTTCATACAATTATAGTTAATTTTGAATGATTTTAAATCATCTTGGATAGTTTTGAAAGATCAACACACTATCATAAGCCAATAAACTTGTTTTAAAGTACGCCTAATTAAAAAACAAAATATCGTTCTATATTAGAAAAAAAAACAAAGATCTCTTTCAAATCTCCAGTGACATTTACACAGTTGGAAAAAAATGTGTGCTCATGAGATTCTCTTCTCGAAACAGAGTAAATTTTATTTGAAACATTTTTTTCAAATAATGAATGGGAAATATATGGAAAGATTAATAAGCCCCTGTGTGTGTGTGTGTGTGTGTGTGTGTGTGTGTGTGTGTGTGTGTGTGTGTGTGTGTGTGTGTGTGTGTGTGTGTGCGCGCGTGTGTGTGTGTGTGTATGTGTATTTAGAATTAAAATTTCTACTTACTATTATGTTTCAGAGGCAATGTCAGATCTTGTGATCTGCAAATTGAGTCATTGCAGTGCACCAGTCGCTGGTGGTATAAATATGATTTTGCTGTGTGAAAAAGTTGCGAAGGAAGATATACAAGTGAGATTTTTTGAGGAGAGAGATGGGCAATTAATCTGGGAAGGATACGGCGATTTTCAACCGACGCATGTACATAAACAAGTAAGTCAACAACAACAGTATATGTAAACTTTGAATTACACTGCAACAGTTAGTGCAATACAATAGTAAAAATATGATTCATTTGTCTGTATTGTATTATCTATCGTTCTTATAGACGGCGATAGCGTTCAGAACACCTAGCTATCGTACACAGGAAGTGGAACAGCCGGTGCAAGCGTTCATCCAACTTAGAAGGCCATCGGATGGTGCTACGAGCGAACCGCTACCATTTCAAATGTTGCCACTAGGTACAGGTAGGCCTGCTTTCTGGTCTTTACGGAAAGCATTTGCCAGGAAGAAGGCAGAATACAGTACCTTCAGTAAAATTTTGTCTGCGGAAACTGTTCTTTTTGATAACGTAACTCCTAAGTTTTCTCGTAATATCGACGAATTCAACAATAATGATCTGGATACGAAAAAATTAAACAATAAAATCTCTGCATTGCGTGCTTTAAACGATTTGTATAACGTAAAAAATCATGTAGATGTGTGTAATGGCGATTTAAAAGCGTCAATAAATTCTATACAAAATGTAGAGCAACCCGTGAAAAGTGCTATTTTGGATTATGAGAATAACGAAATGATGATAATCTCGGGAAGAAACGTGGAAAATAATAAAGAAATTAGCAAATTGTATATTCTTGATAATAATAATGTAGAAAATAATGCATTTAATTCCGAGTATAAAGAAAGAATTATCGATGCGATTCCTTATGCGAAATCCGACGCACAAGAAGATAGCACGTCCGTATCAAAAAATGTAGATAATTCAAAGAATAGGTCAGATTGGTTCGATAATTTTGAAATAGGCAAATGGGTGCAGAAGGGACAAGTGTGCCTTAAGGAAAAGAATAATGAGACGGAATTTAAAAATGAGACAGATGGCAATAAACCGTTTAATGAATTTTTATCGCAAGTGGCTGAGCTTGATCAAATTTATGCTGATACACATAACAAGTTGATACGAGCTGCTACGGAGACCAATCCACAAATGATGGAAATTGATGTTTGTGATAATCAAACTTACACCAGTTTACAAATGGCTATGAAAAATCCAGTAGAGTTGTTCGACATTATCGATGATAGAAAATACGAGGATGTAACCGTCTCTAAACAAGATGCAGAAGTGCCCGTTATGTCTGTAACATTAACAGCTAAGAGAGATGTAATGCATGAGGCGGAGGAAAGATTGCCACCCTTGCCTCCCAAGCGAATACGTAAGATGCCGTCAATGCCACTTTTGCCGCGTCCAATATCTGCTCAAACGCTCACTACCTCACTCATCAAGGCACCGAATAAAAATTTGCCGTCCTTACCCGGTACTTTATCGAAACACGCTAGACAAGGACTATTTTCGAAATTATTTGCTAAAAAAATTAAAAAAGATAAATGTTCAGATCTAAGTAGAGATAGTGATCCGTCATTGAATACTTCATATTTATCGAAAAGTACTATGCAAGATGTTATACAATCACAAAGTCTATATCCTAGTACGAGTGTTAAATCTCTTAAGCTAAATGACGATGAAGCACCATATGGTGTAGATTTAACTGAGGCTGAGCACTATGCTCTATATACTACTATGGCACCACATGCAACTGCCTCAGAATTTGATGAAATGTCTTTTTATTATAGTCTAGTTGAAGATGGGAAAATACTGACGGAAACAAAAGAGACTTAAACTATTTGATAGATGTTTTATTGATCTATTTAATATTTCTTTTTTGTTTATATACTGCCAAATTGAAAATAACTTAATATTTGTACATGAATTAATGATGTTTGAGTCTACCGATTTTGAGTCTGCCGAAATGTGAAGAATATTGTCTTGCATTGCAGCTATAAACTTTTACTATCGTCAGCTCTTATATATTTACAGTTTTTATGACATTCATTTAAGAATGTATTTGTATTTTTAAACCAAAGATTTTTACGGAAAAAAATCGAGAATTTCCTTAAGACATATTGCCACATAAAATGGATCGATTTTTGTAATATCGATCGCATTTATCTAAATGTGCAAAATTCTAGTCTAAACTAAGTGCAATTAGTTTTTTCTTAATGTTTCCTATTAACGATTTTTATAAATGATTTATAAATTAATTGTTTGTCGATAATTGTTATCTCTCTCTTATCAAATGACTACTTTTTTCTAGTCAAGTTTGACGTTATATATTTTCTTATACTTTCATTGTACGTTGCTTTACTGTTGTTAAATTTTATGTGATTATGAATGTATATACAAATGTATATGAAAATTTTTTTCCTTCTCGTCTTGTTATATACTGTTCATTTTAGTATCCTAATATTTTTTTTTTTTTTTACCTTTTAACGGAGATTAGGGTACCCCATTCTTTATCATAGTAAAATGCTTTATATTTGTGAGAAGGATTCAATAATAGATTAATTTTTTCGTCTTTTAATAAAGAAGAGAATGGCGTTAATTAAATTCAATTTGCTTAAACAATGAGAATCTTATTAGTCCGTGTGAGAACATAATCAATAAGAAATAAGAATTAAAAACCTATAA